TACTAGAAAATCAATCTTACCCTTTAAGATCGGATCAAAAGTTGTTTTCATTCCTCGCCTACTCCAAATAAAACGACACCAGAGATATTTCTATATAAGTGAACAAAAATTAACATAGGTCATGACAAAAAATGTCAACCAGGGTTCGTAATCTTCTTATTTTCTTAAAAAACATAAGGAAACACATTTACATGGAATAAATAATGATCTTACTTTACTTAAAAATACCGAAGACACGCCTCACATATTTACAAAGCAACTATATCAAACAAATGTGTTTTTCAATGGTTGCCTGTTCATTTTATGAACCATTTGTGTAGTACAGACGGTTGATTATGTGATATTAAAACGATTTTGAATATGAAAATCGATAAGTCGTATGCAAACCACAACCGATATAAAATTGCAGAGGAGCAGCATGTAAAAAATAAACTATATTTTAAGTGTTTAGAGTTTTTAGAATATGTGATGCCACCGAAAAGTTATCGCTTTTGTGAAAGGTATGTAACAGCTCTTTGCAACTCAACTTATTCATACAGTAAGATCATAATTATAGGTTTAGTTGGAATTGTAAAACAAAAGAACATGGATCAACTTGGGGTGCCAAGACTACTTAATAAGCGGCATGCAACAAATCATACCCAATCATGGTAAGCAAAGTGCATTGTCTCGTAACAATTAGGAATCCACAAAGTTCAGTAGCAAAAGCCATTCATGTGTTGCAGAAAACAGTACACAACAGAATCAAGAAGAATCTCCGTCTGGAAAGGCACCAAAAGTCATATGTACACCAGTTGCTTCCACAATGCACCCAATCAATTATTGCAAACTGCAAGGAGCTGGAGACTTAAATAAATAAATATATATGTGTTATTTCAGACCAATAAATATCAGTCAAGTCGTCACACACATCACCTATTTATTTCTATGTGTTCAAACTGTCGAGACAGGCGCTGGGAAGCCATTGTCCTCGAACACTAGATGGATTATGGAAAGCCTGAAGAGAGGAATGGAGCACTTTTGACATAACATTATTATGGTAGAGCTTTTTGCAGTGGAAACTATGCTGCATGGCTAATGTCAGATGCATGATCGTCAGACAGAGAATGACCGAACGTGGCGAAATAAACTATAACAACGTGGTGAAGCACTAAAATCGTTTTAATATAACGTACTTAACCATTGTACGTCAAGCTAATAAATGTGTTTATGTGTTCCACAAGTAAAGCATATTCTGATCTTTCTTGAATGTTACTTTCAATAACAGTAATGCTTGTAATATTTATCATACCATTTTTATTCTTTTATTATACAGATTATTTCGTATTGTTAGTTTATTATATGAATTTAGGACTAACGTGAATAATCTTTTAAATTGGCCTAACTTCGTTAGATATTATTGGATTTACGGATAAAAATATCGTTAACAAATTTTTATAAGTAAGAACAATAATACTTAATTAGCTCTTTGATTTTTCATCTAAATTGGTAGTTTGCTCTAACCGGATATTAATATTAATTCTGTATATGGTGCAATATACTTGACTTTTTCGTGTTAATAACACACACACACACACACACATATATATATATATATACATACACAGTGTGGTCACAAGTAAATAGACAACTAATTTTTCGTCATTTAACTGATTTATGCTAACTAATTTGTGTTCACAGAGCACTATATAAATTAAAA